TGGAAGATTCTTTATTGCTGTGTCATTTTCATTTCTTGTTATTGGGTTGTTAAGCATATTTATGTCTTCTCGGGTTAGCATTGGTAGTTTGTATGTTTTTAGGAATCTGTCCATTTCTTCAAAATTTGCTAATTTGTTGGAATATCATTTTTCAAAGTAGTAGCTATCTTCTAGATTTCCACAGTGTCTGTTGTGATTTCATCTTTTTCATTCTAATTGCATTGACTTGAGTCTTTTCTGTCTTTCTCTTGGTAAGTCTGGCCAAGGGCTTATCTATTTTACTGTTTCGAAGAACTGGCTCTTCAATTTCTTGATTTTTTTTTTTTTTTTAATTTCATGTTATTTGTTTTTTTACAGTTTTAGTCTCCGTTTCATTGATTTCTACTCTCTATAATTTGTGTTTTAATTTTGGTTAGGGGCAGGTTTGTTATTTCTCAAGTGTCTTAAGTCTTCTCATAAGGTTCTTCAGTTGGAGTTGCTCTGTTTTCATAACGTGAGCACTGAGTGTGATGAATGTTTCTCATAGGACTGTTTCCATGGTGTCCCAGAAGTTCCATTGAGTTGTACAGCCATTGTCATTAATTTCTAAAACTTTGTAAGTTTCTTCTGTGACCCATTGGTTGTTTAGGAGTGAGTATGTTGTTAATCTACCAGGAGCTTTTGCCTTTTCCAGAATCTTTTCTGTTGCTGATTTCTTTTTTTCATTGCACAGTGGTCTGAGAGTATGTATGCGATGACTTAAATTCTCTTCTGTTTATTTAAGGTGGTTTCTAGGCTCGTATGTGTTCTGTTTTGGAAAAAGTATCGTGTGCTGCTGAAAAGAACGTACACTCAGTTGTACAGGGGTAGAATACTCTGTTTGTATTAAGTCCATATACCCAAGGCTGTGGTCCAGCTCTGATACTTCTCTACTGGTTTTTTATTTGGTTGATCTCTTCTTGAAAGTGGGGTGTTAAAGGGGCTGGGGATTTAGCTCAGCGGCAAAGCGCCTGCCTGGCATGCTCAAGGTCGTGAGTTCGGTCCTCGGTACCGGAGAAAAACCAAAAAAAAAAAAAAAAAGAAAGTGGGATGTTAAAATCCCTACGATGATTGTGGTAGCATTTCTTTGATCTTTTAATTTCAGTAGTTTTTGTTTTATGAAAATAGGTACATCAGTATTCAGATAATAAGACTGTGCCTTGGTGAGCTTCTTTTGTCATCATAATTGGTGTACTGTAAGTGTCACTTATTTGTATTTTAATCTCTTTTCTATTTGGGAAATTTTCTTTTATGATTTCAGTAAACATATTAGTAAATTCATCACTATCTTCTAGTTTTTCTGTAACTCCAGTTAGCCTTACATTTTATCTAGTAGTTGCTGGATAATCCTCTCTTGTTCTCTTATTTTTTCTTTTCTTTTTTTCTTTTTGAGATAGGGTCTCACTATGCAGTTCATGCTGGCCTTCAGCTCACTTTGTAGCCCAGGCTGGTCTCGAACTCAAAATGATCTTCCTGCCTCAGTCTCCCGAGTGCTGGCATTACAGTCATGTGCCACCACGCCTAGCTGAACTCACCTGTTTTCTTAATCCCTTCTAAGAACTTTTCATAGAGGTCTGCTTCTTGGTACTTATTTTCTTCTCCCTTTGTGATCCATTGCTCTGCCTTGGGAGAGTTGGATGAACTTGAGGAGCTTCTGTTGTCTTGCTTCCCCATGCTCGAATGTCTGTCTCCCCCTCTTTTGTCCCCTCCTTTTTTGGAGGGGATTTGCTGCAGGTTGAGGACTAGAAAAGTGAAGAGAGTTTGTGGTTTATATGGAAATTTTTAGTACGTTTCCTCTCCGTGAATAATTTTCAGCTTTGTAGCTCCAGTGTATTTACTCCTCCTGTTATTTACTTTAAGTGATTTGGATTCTGTCCCTATGTTTTGCTGAAAGAATTACTTCTGGTTATAACAGCATCCACAGATTCAGTCGTGCAGTACTTGTACATGGTAGTCCTTGCAGTTACACTCCCCCCTTTATCTATCTTTTATGCACACTAGGACCACTTATTATTTGTGGTTGCTCTGCGGTGAGGTCGGCGAAATGAGGGAGGAGAATGGGAGGTCACTGGATGAGAAGTGTTAGACACCAGCAGGGGTGGGTTTTTTGTTTTTTTTTTTTTTTGAGACAGGATCTCACTGTGCAGTTCAGGCTGGCCTTGAGCTCACTTTGTAGCCCAGGCTGGCCTCAAACTTGCAAGGATCCTTGTCTTGGTTACTTTTTTCTCGTTGCTGGGACAAAATACCTGATGCCTAAAATTAAGGAAGGAAAGGTTTATTTCGCTTACAGTTTGTGGAGGTTTCAGTCCATACTTGGCAAGTTACAAGGCAGAGTGGCACATGGCAGAGGGC